CGCGCGCGAACGCGGTGTCGATGATCAAGGGACACACCACGGCGCGACGACTACGTGCCGAAAACTCGTCGCGTTAGCGCAAGTTTCGCTTAAGAGGAACTTTTTCCGCGGCCCGTAATATGTCCACTGCAAGAAAGCGGAAGCGATTTGCCTTGGAGCGGCAAGAAAGTGGCGCGCGCTCTCCGAGAGCGCGTCTCTCAGTTTCCGGCTCCCGGAAGAGCAACGACAACTTAGTTGATCCTTTTTTGCTCCTCTATGGCTGCGGTTTGTCAGAAAGTGGACTAAAGTATGATATTGCAACTTATCACGAGCGGATGCCGCTTGGACTTCGTCTAAAAAGTGTCGCCAACAATCGCGATAAATCACCCGGGAGCGCGTGTCTAGTTTCAAGCATGGTTTTCTCAGCCCGACAACACGACGTCGTCGGCCCTAATCTATCAATATGAAATATAATAATGTCATTATTAACCGTTAATTCCTCGCTCTCTGCCACCCCCCTTCCCCCGTAATTGCTCGCGTGGGGACTTTTACGCCCTCAGGATATTATGGAATGCATCAAATGAATATCGAAATTACAAAACAATTAAACCTTATTTATACACAATTGTACTACGATATAACTACACGGGGAGAATTTTCTTTTAAAATTTACCCGGAAGAATCACGTAATTGTGGGACAACATGGCATTATGAGTTTTTTTGAAATTTTACCATAAATTTTACATAGTAAAATGTACGGTAAAATTTCAAAAAACCCTCATAAGATTCTTCGAAATGCCATGTTTGTTCGACGATTATATATTTTTCAGGGCAAATTTTAAAAGAAAATTCTCTCCGTGTACGTATAAATTTTAAAAGATTAGTAACATCTCGAAGAAGTGAGAGAGAGAGAGAGAGAGAGAGAGAGAGAGAGGGACACGGAGGGACAGGGGAGACAGGGAGAGATAGGGAGAGGCAGGGAGAGACAGCGATAGACAGGGAGTAACGCGGAGAGGCAGGGAGGGACAGGGAAAGAAGTAATGTCGATAAATAAAATTAAAAAGCGCGCCCGTATTTCCGGTGGGACGCACCGATCGACGTATGACGAAACGTTACGTCAGCGTCATTTGTCTGTTATCGCACGTATGTTTATCGCGTACCGGATGACTAATCGTGCCTCACAAATCGGGTGACAAAAGTCGAAAGATCGCGAAGCGTATACGCGGCCGTATCTCACGTTTCCCGAAGACGCTGGTCGCGACACTTCGGACATATCCAGTCCATCGTTCTCATGCATATGGAATTTCCGTGCGACACGTCTGCGTCCTGTTCGCCACGCTGTCCCAATAGTAGCAGAAGCTACGAGAGATAGCTCTTCGTGCGCAAACCGCCGTTTCTATCGCGGCTCTATTAATTATCGCGATCTGCCATAAATTCTGAGTAATAGTTACGGCGTTACAGGTCGAGAGGGTTTATTAGGGGGACTGTTGTGCACGGGGCAGTGGGGGAGACGCACGACGGTGCTGCTGAATGCACGCAGAAACCGCGCTGCTGAGGGTAGCTGCGGGTAATTACGACGGGGGCGATATATAACGTTTGCCTGTTACATTTTGTACGCAAAACCGACGGAATTCTTCACCAGACAAATTGCGTCGTCATCGCTGTGATATCTTCGTTGTGAAAATTTATAACGTCAGAAAATAACGATGCGCGCATTACACGCGCGCTATTTATTCGTGCATTACGTAGGGCAAACCGGGGCTAATTGTTGCAATTTCAGTTGAGGATCTTTTTTTCCTTCCCACCGTACCTAAAATAATCAGCTTTCCACGTAATGAATCTACATAGTTTTGGGCATTGTATTATTTTTGTTTTATTTGAACAGTTGTATATTAAGAACTCAAGTATTGAACTCTTACAACTCGGATAAATGTAGCCACTTCTTTCCCACTGTACCTAAAATATTCAGCTTTCCACGTAATGAATCTACATATTTTTGGGCATTGTATTATGTTTTTTTTATTTGGACGTTATTATATTAAGTATATTAAGTATATTAAGAACTCTCAAATATTGAACTTTTATACAACTCGGATAAATGTAGCAACTTGCCCCACTGTGGAGCGCCGTTGTTAAAAATATAAGACTTAAAAGTTTGACTCTACTATTACTAGTATATTTAATATACTAGTTTTATTACTATATATACTATTACTAGTATTTTAAATATACTAGTATATTTAAAAAATGTAAATTCTGAGACACAGCAAAATATCTGTTAAGGAAAGGAATAATTAAAATATATATTTTATACATATTATTACATTGTTGGATCAATTAATGTTTTACTTGTTTTTATCAAATACAAAAATATTTGCATAATTATCAAGTATTGTTAAGCATATCATTTGTTAAAACACGTAATTTCTGCAATGTTAATTACGTTACGAAATAAGTATAATGTATCAACAAAAGAACTAATTAACATTGTAAAAAATAAGCCACAATGAGGTACGAGCATTATTTTATCGTGTCTTTTGAGTAGCTTGACAATAGGTGAAACTTCGACGATGGTGTTCGAATAATTATAGATTCAGATAACTAATTGGGCATATTACATTTATGACTTTACTGGAACGACTTGTATTTTCAGGTAAAACCATAATTTGCATTTTGATTTAAAGAGATTTTAAATGGGGATTTGCGTTTTCAACGTATTTTTCAAGGTATTTATACGACGTGGAAGTTAAATTGTAATATCTTGGAGGATATAAATTCAATTTCATGGCTTTTCGGTTGCGAGTCTCTGGTTCTTCCAAGTTCTAAAGAGACACGGTCTCAAAAATACATCTTATCGCTCACGCCCCGGGTTTCTGCTAGGATCTTTCATGTAAATACTTAAGACGAGAGGTTCTTCTCTCCACGAAAGTGGTATAGAAGCTTCGCAAAACCTATCTCGATAACGGCATAATGCTAGCGGTCACAAAGTAAGAGGCAATCGAAAAGTCGGCAAAATTGAATCGCTAAGATTCAATATGATATAAGATTTATTTTTCTTGTATATTGATTGTGGACACCATTAACGTTATCTTCGATGCGATAGTAATTCGATTTATTTAAAGAACAGTTTTTTTTATTATTTTCGAGGTAAAAGTTAATTATAGAGAAACATGAAATTGAAATGACTATTAATAAGTTAATTAAAACTTGTTTAAGTCCTTAGATGCTTTTAATGCTTAGAAACCTCTTCTATTTTAATGTACACGCTGGAACATATGCTAGAAAATACATCTAATCTTGTTTGAGAAAACGTTTTAGTTTCGAGTGAGCTTGGGTTGAAAGAACGTAACGATAATAAGAATATCAAGTGCATTAAAAGCAACTTATTGTATGTACAAAGTGCTACAACAGAAGTTTCGTCTTATTCCTTTGTTCTTTGCTATGTAATCGACTCACCACGGTACTATTCGAGATCCTTTTAGTACGCACTTCTTTCTCGTCGTCGTGTACATCCAATAAGCACTTTAGATATCGGAGGTTCCATATGGTGCGTCGCGTTCTCTCTCTCTCTCTCTCTGTCTTTCTCTCGCAAGTGCGCATCGTCAACAATACTTCGTGCATGAAATCTGAATGGTATCTATAACATATGATAGGGGATTGTAACACAAAACCCTCTTGTCTTTGGTGTCTCTATAGGGCGGATTATATACCGGATGCGTCTCCGCGTAATCGGCTTCCACGATACACGTCTGTCATCCCCCCCGTTGGCGCGCGCTCGCGACGAGGGTCGACGAGGGCCATCGTATAAACTTTTCGAAGGGGTTTTGTCTTGCGGCGCACAAAACACATTCGAGTGCCTCTTGTATCTTTGATCGAGAAGGCGCGCCTGCGATTCATGATAGCGGTTAACCTTATCGGATGGGCCACTGCTGTTGTATCGCTAAGAGAGTAGCGAGGCAATATGTAGATAAATTGGCTATCACGAATCATAAAGGATGCTTGTTAAAAGTGTCATTTATTTTCAAAAATTGCATGACGAGATTGTTTTAACTTTAAACAATTTTACATAAGATTTCACTATTTTTTCAGAAACGTGATCTTGACTCTCCCTTTAATTGTTTGTCGTGTTATTAGTTAGTGCAACACTTTTGTCTTTAAATTTACGATTTGCTTTAGTAGTGGACCACCGAGGTTTTTTTAAATGCACCCTAGAGAAAGATAAACGATCTGAAAGTGAAACACGTATTCTATTAATGTACCTACCTTCGCAGGACCGTGGGTGCATTGTTACTTTACTTTGACATCCCCGTGTAGTCTAAACGAAATTTGCGGTGTCCTGAATGTCTGCCGAATGCAAAGCAACGCCCGTCGAGAGTACAAAGTGAGAGAGTCGTGCACGATAACAGTAATCCCGCTTGTCTATTATAAACAATATTTTGCCACTAGACCCATACGGAAAGCGCGAGAATCGCAGCGTTGTCACAAGTGTCCCCGAGCTGCTTGCTGGAACGTCCGTCATATAACGAGCATCGTTTTATTGCGATAAAACTGACTCATATCATTTACCGCGTCGTCACGTGTGAACTATACGTCAGTCCGTAAATTGATATAAGGACATGTATAACCGTGCGATATGAAAGCCCCTTTATTGTCCCATTCTCATCCCTATGACGTTCATACGTCTTTCTTCATACCGCTCGTGCACAAGGAGCATTTTGCTAGTATGGCGCCAGAACGAGAATATTCTCCTTAATACCTTCTTCCCCTTCATAGCTACTCGGAGCTTGGTCTATTATCGAATTTCCGTATAATAACGAGCTCGCCATGCATAAAGAGATCGTAAAGAGGCGAATACAAAATATACATGACGGCATTACTTATATAATTGAAACCTTTAAGGAACTTAATAATTATTATGTAACATATTTTATAAGGTGATTGCGTTGAAAAATTATCGGTCGCTACAATAACGAATGGGTAATGGAGAACGGGCTATTCAAATTCTTTTATTTCTTTTGCAGATGTCACCGTCCAAGAGACAGCCTCTTTTCGTGGAGCTCCGGGTTCGATAATTTCACGGGATTCGTCAACTGGGGCTTCTTACTGCTAGGTATCGGTGGCGTCCGGTTACTGCTTGAAAATTTCATAAAGTGAGTATCTTAAATTGTCGATAACACCCTCTTATCTAACGCATGTGATTCGCCGATTCATCGGATCATAGTCCGATTTGTCACTAATAAACGCTCTGGTTGGTATGAAGTTATAATACTCAGTAATGTTGACCGAATCAAAACATTTAATCAACTGACAGAAATTATGTTAATCGCTTTTATTAGTACAATGAAACTGAATCGTTACCTGAACTAACAATTAATTCGCCAAGAAACAAGATCGTCAGTACGGCCATTGGGTTTTATACAACGTGTGAATTTTTATTTTATTATTATTAAAAATTTATTAATTTTTTTTATTAATTTTATTAATTTATTTTATTATTATTAATATTGTA